GAGAGAGAGAGAGAGAGAGAGAGAGAGAGAGAGAGAGAGAGAAGGAGAGAATTGCTTAACATTTTTATTTATTATTTCTCTTATCGGCGCCGCTCTCATCTGCGCGCCGGTGGCCGATAATTACGGGCCAATCGCGTACATATCTCTGGCAGCGTGGGAGCGCCGTGGCATCATCCTGTCGTGCGGATAAAGTCAAGGATTCGCTTCCGCGGCGAAGGTGAATCGGAGGCGCGACGGATCCCTCGGCTGGGATTTACGGTCGTTTACTCCTCTCTGCTCCGAGAAGGACGGCGCAATCTGCGGTACAGGAAGATCGATGTTGTTGACTCACCGACCATTCACGCGGCATTTGTCACCGCACTTGTCGCTGCCACGAATCTCTCTCGCTCTTTCGATCCTTCTCTCTCTCTCTCTCTTTCGCTCTTTCGATCCTTCCTTCTCTTTCTCTCTTTCTCTTTTTCTCCTTTTTGTACGTGCCGCTGATACATGGAGATTTCATCCACCTCTCGCGAAATTTACGTACAAAAGAAGATAGCGCGCTTAAGCCACGTAAGGGGAAATCGTGAGAGGCAATTAACTTGTATTTATTAACACGCTCGACTCTCCCATCTCGCGCGCGGTTCAATTTTCTCGCGCGTTTAGAAATCCACGTGTAACTCAAGCGAAACGATCGTCCATCATCATAGGCAGTGAATCAATTGTATTCGCTTGATGCAAGAGATTTGTCGGTTTTTCTACTAAATTCTCTATTCTAGTTTGAATGTCCAAAGAAAAATAGACTCCTCGTTAGAAACGTCTGTGAAAAATATCGAGTTTGTAAGATAAATGTCCCAGCGATTGAACAATGTTCCAGTGACTCAAGCGTTAATAATGCATTTGCATTTCATATTTCTGAAAAAACCTTTGAAATTTAAAAGACATTTCTTTACGCTAATATGCAATATTATCTGATAAGCATTCAATCAATGAATCCGCATTATTCTATGGTTGAGACATGACTTATTTTTTAGTTCAATTACTGATATACAACCGACATTATCTATAATATTCCATTAAAATTATATAATTGATATTTATTGATTATTTTATTTTCCATTACTTTTCGATCGCTGACAAAACGAAGCTTTATATAAACGTTATTTTTGGCAGTAATTCCATTATTGATTAATTATTGATTGATAAAAATGTAAAACTGATCGTGCTTTCTTATTAGTTCAGTTATTGAAAAATTTATCTTATTCATTTTTAACTGATTTCAAAAAAATTTCTTGAAGTTCTCAATTTGTCTTAATATTTTACTATTAATAATTCCACCAAGAGGCACCGAGGACTGGAGGTGATAGTAAATAAGTAAGTCTCAGCGAACGATTTTGAGACAGGCAGTTGTTAAAAATTGGGGAATAAGTTCGGAAGAGGGGGGAAAGACGGAGGAAAGAAGAGACGCAGGAAAGTATATTGGATCGCATTAATAATTCATGATCGCGCACTTCCAATTAAGGCTTTCCGTGGAAATCTGACTCGGACGCGCCGTTGCGGGTCGCCCTGTTTTTCCGTGCTCGTCGAGAATCTATACGGCAATTCTCATAGTGGAATAGAGATATCGGATTAACTGCAACTACTGAATAACGTTTGAGAAACCTCTCAACGTAGCGAAGTGGAAAAGTTCGCGAGTACTTCGCTGGGAACGCGATTCGATATCCAGGACTTAGAGTGCAAGTATGCGCGGAAAATTTTTCATCGCCACGGAACTTCGTCGCTTACCTTCGCGGAACTTTGCACGTTTCCCGCGATCTCGCGGAGAATTTCGCGGGGCAAGTTACGATCTCGCCCGCGCTCACTTTTTATCCATCTTTATTACTTTGTCGCATCTCTGTATTTCCCAATAAAGTTCCTCTCACGGCTTTATATTCAGCGTCATTACGCGTCTCTCTCCTTTCTTGTTTAAGCTTTCTCGTACGAGTACCGTCGTCGCCATCGTTCGTCTCGCGCGAGGATTACGTTTTTTTTTCGATCGCGTATTTCCATTGAACGCCCGAAGGTGTCTCGCGATCGATTTTTGCGGAGATACTTTTTATTAATTCCAGAGAGTCTGCTCGTTCCGTTCGCGAAATCCAAACCCGGCGGAAACAACGGCGAGCGTGTATACGCGCAATGATGTTCCATGCGAAAGAGGAAGGGAACAACTTCACGATAGCAACGAAAAATGTTTATGCAGAGTGTGGGGAGGGGGGAGGTTAAGGGGGAACGAACGGCGGTGGCGAAGTACGTAGGACCTGACTCTGGTTATCGCATACAATATTAAATACCGTGTGAACTTGTAACGCCGGCATGTCAAATATCTAAACAAAGTAGTTTGAACCTCTGAACTCTCATCGAGCTTTTACATGCAGTTTATGTAACGTGCAGCAAATATCGCGCGCTTTCTCCCGACCGTCGGTCCTTTGACGAGTTTTTCCACAGCGAGATTTTAATTGAACGTTATATCTTCTCTTTTCTTCCCCCTTTCTCCCCCCCCCCCCCCTCTCTCTCCCTCTCTCCCATCCTTTTACCTTCTTTCCGGCATTTATTTCAATTTTAAAATATTACAGTTATCTTCGCAGTCGTAATTCAACTTAACATTCTCCCGGAGCGAAGTTAACTCGCTGCTAATTGCTCAATTTGACGAAGGAGGCGCGTTATGCGCTCGCATAGCCAGCTTTTGAAGCTCCTTTCGTTCAAACTTCGCTCAAAGATTACGTTTCAACGGTGAAGCAGGCGGTTTAACCTTTGTGTGTGTGTGTGTGTATGTGTGTATGAAAGGAGAGTGCTTGCAGTCGCGGAAGGTGTCCGCGATTTTCGAGGCATTATGCAAGAGGTGCATGCGAGCGTACTCTGTGCACACATCAAGAACATGAGAGTATTAAAACGTTATTTTTTCCCGGCTTCTCTCTCTCTTTTTTTTTTTTTCACGAAAATAGCTTTATTACAACAAGGGAGCTTCTGCGAACGAACGCATATCGTTTCCCTGATTTTTCACAGTTATTTTTTTCATTTTCAGCATCCCATGTATGTTTGACTGTCTTTGTGTGCAACGTTATATCCCTCGTGCCGACGATCATTCGAGCGCTTTGAAAAAAACCATTTCGGCCCTCCGGTTCTCGTCGTTGAATATGTAAAACAGCTTTCGCCCTCCGGGCGCGGTATAAAATTACTCATGAGCCGAAATGCGTTTGACAAGTTCGCTGTGATGTCCTGAATGTATCGGTAGCGTCGTAATCCCGTCTGTGAGCAGGCTATTCCCCAGCGTTAAGCGGTATACAAACAACGTGAAAAAGAGATCGCTATGTACAATGCAATTTTATTATAATCCCCAGGGCGGATTATACGGGCGTTATCGATCGTGCCCGGTGCAATTCTGCCGGTGCACGCATTCGTCGATAAAGCTTCTTTATTCGCCACGCGAAATCGGCTCGAATGTCGTTCACCGTTCGCCATTTTCGCGAACCATCGCGTCGCGTTACGCAACCCCGACCCCGGAATACGAACGCACAATACCCCATAGTCGCGTTGGAATCGGCCACAGGACGTCCAAATCTCGGATGGAAACTTAAAACGCGGGTCAAAAAGAGCCTAGTTTTGCCTTGCTTCTATCGAGGTTCTATAAAGACAGGTTTATTTACACTGAAAATTTGGTACATCAGATCATAATTTGATTAAAACGGGATCAACCAAATGGTAATTACAACCAACAAATTTTATTACTGTTATATGTGTTCTGCTTTCTTAATAATATATGTGCTTAGGCAAGCAGAAAAATATGCAATGGCAACTAAATCGTATATTTTCGTTCCAAGTACAAAAATAATTTTTTTTCAGTGTAATCCCTATACAAAGATATAACATTCCTACAAATTAGTGCCTAAACTTATGAATTATACTCTATTTTGTATATCTAGACCTGACTGAAATGACGAATTAAGGGTCTGTTTTGATATATTTATTTAAGGTATACTAAATGAAATTCTTTCTTAGCACGCTTATTATAATGTGTTTTCTAATTTTTATTATTTTTTTATTAGTTTTTTTTATTACATATAATATCTTTGTATATAATGATTATTATTATCAGTACCGAGTATCTTTTTTAAAATTTTTTTGGCTAACTTATCCATTCAAAATCACAAAATTTTTTTAATATCAAAATTCATATTTCAACTGTTTGAAAGATAGTAACATACACACTCATCAAAATGTTTACTTTATAATTATCAATCATTAACAATTAATGTACAATCGTTTCCTCACTGAAACCGTTTAAAGAATTGGCTAATTTGTCTGACCAAGCCTTGTTAACAAGCCTTGTTTGGAGCGTGAATGTTAGGATCCATAACCTACTCACGAAATTCCATTCAAGATTGGCCTTGTCTGAATCCTATGAAGGCATGTCTACTTTGGGGCATTCACATCAGCATCAGTCCATGGCCTATTCTCAAAATTCTATTCAAAATCTATCTGTTTTGGCCCTACAAAGACATGCCTATTTTGGGGTATCTCTAGCTAGAATTACTACGTACTTAGGGCCCACCTCGATTAATTTCTACCTGGGATTAGATTCGCCGCGCGTGCCAGACCGACTGACTAATTCCGTGTATAGCACGAGGCACATGATTGTTTAATTCAAATTCTAATTCCCGCTTCCAATTTGCAGGTATCGCAGCTACTTACACGCCTGGCCAGTGCGAGGCGAAGGTGAGTGTGTTCCTTTCTTTCTCTCTCTATACAATTTGCGCGAGGGACTCGGAATAAAAACCGCATACTCTAACTTCGCCTTTCGTTACGGCTTTTCTTCGTCGTTTTGTATTTGTGCCGCATCTACCGCCGTGTAATCTCACTTAAAGCGGCCAGATGTGTCCCTTTCTTCCGGCCGGAGATTCGAATTACTGCAGTTACAGTTACAGTAACGTACTTTTTGCAATTACTGTAAATGCCATATGCAATGTGCAGAGAAAAATGCAATCTTGTATTAACTTTCCAACTTTTTTCGGATCAAATCAATTTTATGCTGCTTTACTCCGAGTCCTTCAAATCTATTATGTAATGAAGAGTCGAGATGAGGTAATTATACATGTATAGGAAGAAAATAGTACGTACTCTCTTAAAGTGAATCAGTAGCAATGTTCCCGGTTGGATCAGTAACAGGAATACTTCATCAACAATCAGTGAGCATTCATTGATTTTCAATGGAAACGCTCCCAGTTTGTTGCTTCTCTCTCTTTCTCTTTCTCTCTCTCTCTCTTTCTCTCTCTCTCTCTCTCTCGTTCTGCATACAAAAAATACCATTATACTGTTAAAAAAAGCGATTATTCAATTTACTTGTCTTCTTTAAGTGAAGGTTATTTCCAACAAAAGATTATCTTCATAGGAATAGTTTTTAAATATACTCATCAAAAATTGTAGAGGAGCTCGTTATTACGTACTTAAAAGAAGCATTTATTCTCTTTACAAGAATATTATAAAACTTTATCGTGGGAAAAGGTGACCTTACTTTGTAAGGAAACCGATTCTTTTTAATATTCTTGATTGAAATGTTAAACTTACTCAGGATTCAGAACATTTTAGATAAATTTGACGCTGGTGATGAACTTGTGACACAGATTTGTGTATATATAAACTTGTATATATATACTTTAAAATAATATCTATAAGTAATATTTGAATGCAGTAATACTTGAATGCATTTTTGCGTGCATATCTCGCTGATTTTGAGCAGTGGAAGTAACGTTTTACATTGGAAAATCTGCAGTACACAGATTTGTTATATAGATTTGCAGCAAATCCAACTTTATGCGTTTGTAGCGATGGAATTAACGGCTTCCGTGCGCCTTGTATGCGACATCATAGTCTGTGTTTGTAAACTGCATCAATAATGGAAACAGTTGCTATTAACTGATCCTTTCAGTGATATTTTTCTGTGTGATTGCAGTGCCATACTTGCAACTACACATTTTGGCATATTAATCCATTAAAACAAATCAATAATCACAATTAACTAATCGTCGTGTAATCATGAAATTTAATCGATCGATGAGATTAATTATTAATCAGTATGTAATCAATTACATCAAAGTTTGATGAATAATTAACTTTATTGATCGATAAAATTATTAGTAATTTTATGTATGACATGTATTTTGATTATTGATTTGCCGATTATTTCTTGGTCAAAGAAAATTTTTATCAATTAATGAGTCAACACTGAGCTGAATCTCCGGTTATAAATGCGATATATTTCGATAGAAAATATACTGACTATACTTTGGAGAGTACTTAGGAATATACCACTATTTGCACACGTAGACAAAGAAAAAATCACAAGCGTAATTATTATGGTCCGTTGATTGAAAGTTTCATTACGTGTTTCGCAACTTGGTCTCTCTCTCTCAATGCCACTTTTAATTTCGCGGATAGGTCATTTAAATAATTATATGGTGACAAGTTCAATCTAATCTATGGTTTCTGACGAGTTTAATATTAAGTCTCTGAGTTTTGAATGTAATTAAATTATGGATATCTTGACAGCTCATAAAGTTGGCGCGCGCGCGACAGAGTTTTTACATCCGCGAATTATTCTTCGTCGACCGACTAGACGATAGTTTAAAAACACCGCGACACACACACACACACATATAACACGAGCTATCTTAATTCTATAGAACCAAGAGCGAACGAAGAGCGATATTCTCGTTAATATATTCAAGACGCCAATCTCAAGACCGAGCGATTCCGATCGACCGACTCTTCCAGCCGCCGAGCTTAATTAGCGACCAAGCAATTAGAGTTCCCGGCGCGTTATTTCCAGCGCGATGCAATTTAACTTTCGCGGAATTCCATACGGTGGCGCGGCGTCGTATGTACGTACCGCGTTAGGACGATTTACCCTAGAGGACAATCGATACGCAGGGTAGAAGGGCGGGACAGCCGTCGCCGCCAGGGGGCGTCGACGACGCGAAACTTCCTTCCGCGAGCGTTCCCTTCTCGTTTTACAGACGTAACGCGGATTTTAATTTACGGGCGCGCGAGAGCGATCTAATTACCGCGGCATGAGCTCTCTCGCCACTCTCGTTGCCTCTCCCAACCGTCCGCCCTTCCCCCTCCCCTTCCCGCGCAAATCCCGCCGGTGAAAAATCGCCCGAATGGAATTGCCGATGCACTGCCGGGGAGTGCGTTCGAAGTTCCCGTTAACGTCCGGCTTTGATAAATACGACACAATGGTCAGTACTCGTAGACGACCGACGCGCGTTTACCGGGTTAAAACCGTGATTTACGCGGAACGCCGTCCCGTATAACGGCGCCGGACGCACGTTGTAGCGAATTTAATCAAACTTTCGGGTAACCCCCGGCCGCGGGACACGGTTGCAGTATCGGATTTCATCGCGGCCACGCGAGCGGGATAACCTCCGCGACGAGTTGGCCCGTTCATTCGCGTTTTGCGCGCCGTTATCGTTCTGCGCGTACGCGAAATCGATGGCGTTTAATATGCGTGCGTGCGTCCAAGCGTGCGATCGCATAAATTGCCTAATTATTAACGCTTCGACACGTGTGCGTGCGCGCGCGCGCGGCGCGAAAATGGCGTATTAGCGTAAAAGTTCGGCCAAAAAATGGCTCGCCGGCCATCTTCTCTCATTTGCACGACGCCGGGATAGACAATTCTTGCGCGTTCTTCTCTCTGATAATCGCGCCGACGACGGCAGATAATTAATTCGCTCGTTCATGCGCTTTTCGTTAATCTCGATTACGTCGGCTGGAGGAAAAATATGGTGAAGTGGGACAAACCGATAATGGGCCCCACTTGAGTTTCCAAGTTCTTGGGCAGAGGTAACTTCCGTAATGTTAACCTCGACGATGAAATGTTCAGCTCTGGGGATGACGTGAATATTGACAGCGGTTAACGAAGATGAGTCGCGAAGTTGGCGCGAAGAGCACCGGTATTTCATATATTAGCATATTAGAAATTATAAACTAGAATATTAGAAAATTTAATCTAATCAGCTAAAAACCACTAGTCTCTAACTCAATTCGGCTAATTACATTTCTACTTGGATTTCTTAGCGATAACGGGCTCACGTCTATTTATCGCCTCATCGCGCTATATTAAACGGCGATCTCACGCGCGCAAGAGAGAGAGAGAGAGAGATTAACGACAAAAGAGGGACGCAGGGGACTGAAAGGGAAATAATCTCGTCGGATAAGCTACGAGTTCGAGTTGAAAATAGCATATTTTCCGAGAGACTCGCGGAAACTCGTGCGTTGCGAGCGCTTTTCTGGAAGTAGTTCTACATTCTAAGAGCGTATTACGTTGCAGGCTTCGCGAGATGTCGAGCACGCGAGACTGCCAGAGTTCCTCTCGGAATTGGACCTGTCGAGTCTCGAGGCATCCGAGGAAGACGTCGAAGCGCTGAAGAAAATCGTGAAAAGGCTGGCGCCGGAGAAGAACGGCGAGTACCAAGTTTACCAAGGTTCTCTCAGACTGTCCTACTAACCTCGAGACTACGTCGAGCTAACTTTTCTTCTTCTTCTTTTATCCCAACCTGACTAAAGCAACTCGCTTTTTCTTTCATTGCCAGTCTTCTTCGGTAACGAGGATCTTCTCAAGGAGTGGCTCAAAGGAGCGGGTATTATTACTTAAAAGCATACTTCTCTCCATGCATGCAGACGTTTCTTTATTCCTCGATGTAAAACTACTCTCCTCCCCCTCTCCCCCCGCCCGAAATCCCGGCAGTCCCGCTATTATTGCCGTCCACGGAATAAACTGTCGAACTTTTTCGGCTGTGAGTACTCTTGCCGAATTAAAACTTCTTTCCTAGAAAAACCTTATTTACGCGAAACTGTTTTTCCAGGAGAATTTTCCCGAATGTGTGATAATTTTTGCTGAATTATGTATTCGTAACTTATTCGCATGGAGATAAAAGTTTAGTCGAATTAATGTGACAATGAACGAGTCAAACGCCTTTTGGTTGAAGGAAACAGAACGTCTGGTTCTTATGAGCCAAATTCAGCTCTAAGAGTCAGAAATTCCGTTTTTCTAATCAAAAAGCTTTTGATTCATTAATTCAAGTAAACCTTTTTGATTCATTAATTCAAACCTTTTTCTTCGTGTTGGTAAGTTGCAAGTAAAAACGTAAATTATTAATTAAAGGAAACAGAATACCATGCTTTTATGAGTTGAATTTGGCTCTAAGAGCCAGAAGTTCCGTTTCCTTCGCCCAAAGGCTTAGCTCATTCATTCAGCCAAACTTTTCCTCCGCGTGAATAAGTTGCAATTAAATAATTTAGTAAAAATAATTAATTAAAGGAAACCTAGTTTTTATGAACCAAATTTGGACTAGAAATTCCGTTTCCTTCAGCCAAAAGTCTCATTTATTGTCACGTTAATTCAGCTTCTTTCTCTATGCGCACTTTATTCTTGAATTTCGAGCGGGGTAGTAGGTAAGCGAGATGTAAACTACGAATGAGAAACTGTGAAATCGATATTCGCTTTTCGCATTTTCGATTTTCCGCATTTTGCACGCATTTTGCAAGCATGAAGTCGACGTTTGCCCGATTTCTTTGCCTCGGCACACGTCGTGTGTGTGTGTGTGTGTATGTGTGCAACCTCCTTGTCTGTGTTTGACCCGTGCAAAGCTGTCCGTCGCACGTGAGCATGTCGTGCATACATGTAAATATCCGCTGCAGGCTGTATCTATGCAAATACTTACCGCAAATGCACCCGAAAGCGCGTTCGATGAGCATTTGGGACATTCCATCGCGGCGGCACCGTTCCGGCCGGCATGCGGACCGGCGCGAAATGAGAGCACTCGATGCCGGTGTCGCTTCCACAGGCATCTTACCAAAGCGTCAGATGTTACGCAAGGCTGTGTAAGCGAAAGTCATTGAGTGCGTGCGAATATCTCAGAGCGATCGGACCGCGTCTCCGCTTTCCCACGAGGCGCAATTTTTCGTTTTACGATGATTGTGCCGGCACTTCGTGACTTTCCGCGAAGTGACAGACTTTCTACGTCTGTGCGCTATTCCGCTATCTCCGCCGATCGTGACGCAATCGCATTGTTTATCGCGCGTCCGCGTTAATTAAATCTCTGAAACGCGCGGCGAGCGTATCGACGTGCAATCCGTCGCTCGTTTATCATCTTTTGCATGAAGGCATTACACGCCGGCGGAGGCTGAGAGGGTTGGTTGGGGAGGAGGAGGAGGAAGAGAGAGAGAGAAAGGGAGGGTGTGGAGCAGGGGAGCGATCTTTATTGCCGGCCTCGCGAAGTTATCGTTCCGCGTGGAATTTCGTGTGTGTGTGCCGGAAAAATCGATGGGCGCGGCTTGCATGGCTCGTAAAAGCTTAAGCGATTATATCGCGGAAATTCATACTTTAAAAGCACGACCGCGCGAAAGCGCGCGGCGAATGTCTGAAAGGCATCGCGTGCGCGTCGCGCGGCGACGATACGACGCGCGGGTGCGCCATAAAATTTAATAACACTCCCGCTTCGTACTCAGGCGTGACGGGACAGCCCGGGGTGGATTACCCAGCCCTCACCTCGATTCCAGCCACTTCATTCAGCTGTCGCGGTCTGAGAGGTGGATATTACGCGGATTTAGAGACAAATTGCCAAGTAGGTGGTATCGATATCATATAGTTCGCTCGGATGAGCAATTGCACTGTGAGAAGCGTGACTTGCGCGGAGAAATGTCCCCCATTAAATCGACTGTCGTAAGTCACAGGTCGGTGCGGTCTCTCGCTTGGAGAAACGTCCATTGTCGATAAAAGGCTGCGATACAAACAGTGATTGTTTTTCTCTTCTCAACGTGAATTTTGTCTCATTTTTTGAATATTTTTTCACAACGAATAAGATGATCAACCAAAGTATATTTTAATATATAATAACGTAATAATAGAAAATAATAACCCAGACTCTTAAATATATCCAACCATCATAATGTAGAGATTTGAACTCTTAATTTTAACAAGAGAGTTATTTATAAATTAGCACTAGAATACCCAATGGAGCCATTTTGATTGCTTTAAAATCTTTTTTATCGCCATTTTTATTTCTCGTGGTTTAGAAAAATGCCTCTTTCGGGAATTCAAAGGGGATAGTCATTCCTGGACATCTTAGTATGAAAAAAGCCAATACGAACCCATAATATGTCGATTGCGAAATTTACCAAATCAAGTGAAAGAAGAAATAAAGTAGTGAAATTAGTAAAAAATTAGCTAAATTTAAGTTTAAATTTAAGTTCACAATTGATTAAAGATATGTGTGGAATTAAATAAATAAAAGTTTTAGACGTAAACAAAACAAAGATACGCTACACGTTCTACGTGGAACGCCGTGAGATTGCCGGGAAGCGACTAACATTCGTGACGGTTTTTAGTGCTGTCCGCGAACGTTTTACGGTCGATGAGAGGCACGTAACCAACGCTGACTGTATTTCCAGGTATTTCACATCTGCGACAATGGACGCAAGATCTCGTTCCTGTGTCCCAATGGCACCATCTTCCAGCAGTCGCAGCTTATATGTGACTGGTGGTTTAAGGTGGACTGCAGCAAGTCCACGGAGCTGTATGAGCAAAGCGCCGAGCAATTGGCCGAGGAGGAGAGGAAGCGCGCGGACGCGAGGAAGATGAAGTCCGAGTTCCATCGCACGGTGGAGCAGAACGACGCCAATTACTACGAGACACAGAGTCCCGACTACGACGGCAGGCAAAACGGTAGGACGAATCCGTTCGGTCAGTCGGCCAAGCAGAATCAGATCCCGGAGCGGCAGGAAGAACCAAAGTCCGTGCAGCATTTCGGGCCGAACAACGTCTTCGATAACCCACGAGACTCCGGCCGTTACTTCCAGGAGGGTAACGCGAGGACGACGCAACCATCCGAGACCTTCAATCAGCCGACGACGAAGCAACGACAATATCACGAGGGCGGCTCGAATTATCAGGCCGCCAACAGGCAGAGGAATCAGCTGGTGGACACGCAGAGCGGTAAGTTCAACTACGAGCACGGCAACAAGTTCCAAGACACCCGGCAGAATTACCAGAATACCTTCGGCAACGCGCAAGACCACTACCGTGCCACCCAGAGCGCAGCGCGCAGCGATAAACCGGACATCCGTAACTCAAAATCACGGACCCTGACGCGAAACAATCTGCTCGGCTCCAATCAGCCGCAAAAGGCGACTCCGACCTACATGGAAACGACAACCTTCCGAACCACGACCGCGTCGCCGCCGAGGGAGTTCCAGCAATTCGCGGAGAGCGCCGCGTTTGTGTCCAATCGGGGAAATCGCTTCAACAGCAAATCCGAGAACAATCGACAATTTTACTACCATTCCTACGAGCACCGGGCTTCCACGATCGACGACCGAGAGACGACCACCGTGACGCCGGAGAGGAACGACCAGAGTATCCACAACAGGGTGTCCTTTACGCCGAAAATCGGCGCGCCGCAGTTCCCCGGGCCCACGTTCGCCCCCATTTACAAGCCCAGGACGACGACGATACCACCTTACGAGACCACGCTGCAGTACACGCCGACCAGCGAAACGCCCTTCTACAGTACTTCCTTCTACAGGCAGGAAGACATCCCGGAAACGACTTATACTCCCGCCGACCTGACGACCATGACGGCGTCCACCATCGAAGACTACCAGGCCACAGAATCCTTCTCTACGACCTACAACGATCAACAGACACCAGCCTCCATAGGGCGAGTTCCACCAGCTTCGAATTATCCGCATCAGTACATAGACAGTAAAGTGACCGAAAGGGACATCGATCGCGACACTGCATCCTTCGCGACCACACGGCCGTATCTGAACACTGAGAGCTCTCGATTCGACACGGTGAACACCACATCGACCGTCAGTCAGAACGCGTATCCGTCGTCGACGCCTTACTTCGATGACATTCGTGGTCAAACGGCTCGAGGCGGCGCAGCGACCCATGCGGATTACCGGGGCGAGAATAGTATCGCCGACATCGAGCCCAAAGGCACCACGAGGGATCCGTCGCTCGCCTCTTCGCCGAACTTCCGGCAAAACTCGATCAGCTCGACCGAAAAGCCGTGGCGGAGCACCAACGTCTATCAGCAGAGCGGCTCCACCAGCAAGACTCTGAGTCCATACGACACCAGTTTCACTTACAAACAGGGGAAGGTCTTGTCCACTCTAGGTCCTTACGTACCTTTCACCAAGAACTACGTCTATTCCACGATGACCACCACTTCGAGGCCGCCAATCACCGCATCGACTTACAGCCCGACCATCGCGGATTATCGCATCACGACGAGCAACCTGATACCCAAGGTAAAGTCGTCGCCTGTGACGAGTAGGCCCAAGGATAGGGCGACATATCTACCTGAGACGACTAATAGCAAGCAATCCACAAGCAATTTGGAGAACAGGCCTTACACTGAACGTGAACACGCGCTCAGCATGTTGCACTCCCTTCAGGGTCTGGAGGATAACGCGGATAATCTGAACGAGGCCGAGAAGAAGGGAGCATCCGGTAGGAACATCCCTTTCGCTCCTGGATCGTCCACTTTGCACTCATTGGCCTTGTATTTCGCCACGGCCAGCGACAATTTCGACTCTAACGAAACCGCCGAATCATCCGTGAGTATCGAGCACCAAGAAGAGGTCGTCTTTCCAGAAGAAGAGAGTCTTTCCAGTGCGCACAGCTCATCCGTGGAATTGCCTACCAGCATTCTCACACAGCACACCATTTCCTCGTACGCCGAGCTGTTCAACTTGAACAACGCGCTTGAAGGAAACGCCACAGTGACCGAGCTCACAGCAGAGGCTGAAGACGTTGGCGAGATCGACAACGAGGACCTCGAGATCGAGCAGAGCGAGGGACCCTTGAACGGCGCCAGGAAGACCAACAGTACCAAGCTCCGTGAGCTGGCTCAGGTGTTTACTCACGCTCTATCGGCGTACCTACAGGACCCAGATACCTTTAAGAAGGTATTAACGGAGATCAGACCCACAGAACCACCGGTGACCACGATAGATGGCGGCCAGTTCGAAACCACGACGCTGTACCCGACCACTGCGGAGGAGTATTCGTCGGTGACGAAGGAGAAGGACGAAGTCTTGGACTTTTCGGACGACACCGACTCTGCTAGGAGACGCAAACCCACCACAGTGTTTCCCACCACGTTGCAGCCGCCCACCACGACTGACAGGTCATACTCGACCTACTACACGACATCTTACGACGACTATTATTCAACTCCGTTGGCCACGCGGAGACCAGTTTATTATCCGAGCACGACTCTATTGCCGCCCGGCGACTCCGGGGAATATGTGGAGACATCCACGCAGGTCATGGGCGGCAATACATTCGCCTATGAGGTGAACCATGCTTTCGGCACCACTGCTGTTAATGACATTCGCGGTTACGACGCTGACACGAGGGACTCGACTGACTTATCGCCGGTCTACAACAATTACTTCCCGTCGGATAAAGACGCCAGTCGCAACAAGATTGCTGGATTCCACAATAACAGCGGGAGGACCTTCCAACCCTACGGCAAGAACGTCAAGCCATCCAACGCTACGCCTATAAACAACTATGTGGCGTCATCGACGGTGCCGTCCTTCCAATATCCCGTAGGGACGACTACGTCCACTTGGGGCAGAGGCTCCGCCAGCGACAAGCCCGTGCAGAATCTCACGCCACCTCATTATCAACGCTTCGGCAATGTGAAGAGCTTCGAGGTCTCCAACAGCATCGTGCCGACTCAGGCGCGCTCGACGACGCCTTTACCAAGGATCAAGTCTACCTATGAACCAGCAGCAGCCAGCAGCACTGTTCATCCCTTCAGGATACGTTATTATGACTCGACGACGTTGCCTGAGGAGCAAAATCCAGAGTCTCTCGTCACAGCTCGCAGTTCATACGTAAAGTTCAGGAATAGCTACAATCGCATAGAAGGCACTCGCAAGTCTACGGAGAACGTAGCGACCACGGTGGCGACGCTGACAACGCCGACGACGACACTGTCACCCACTCAAGCCTCCGTCGGGACGTTAGATCCTGTCACAGCGACTGTCAGCAATGCTGACGTCACGCCATATACCGCTACCGTGATTCGCGCCACGTCCAGCGAGCTGACCAACACGTCGTCCAGCAAACAGTCCAGCTCGCTGAGCGACGATCACTGGACCTCCTCGCCCATGGTCACTCAGCTCTGGGAGACGACGGTGTTTGTGGATCCGCGCCACATCAATCATGGTCTGGAATCCACTAACGACGTCACTCAATCGCCCACGACAGACAACAGCGTCAACGAGGAAGCGGAGCTCGTCGTAGCGGCGTCCACTGTAAGGCCATCGACATTCTCCACCGAAAATGAGGACGAAACGACGGTGTCACGGACGACAACAACTTCCAGCACACCGAGTCCTTGGCAATGGGCGCCCAACGACAATGACTCGCCCGTGGCGTTCACTCTATTGCCAACGACGTTCGCCGCGGAGAACACTGCGACTCCAACTCCGATCATTACGACGCGGTCTAGTATAACGACCACGATCACGTCCTCAGTGACATCGACCAATTCAGTTTCCCGGGAGAACTTGCCATCTACTTTGCTCCCTTTCACGGTGACCAGCTCGTGGAACACCACCGAAAATGAGGTGATTAAGGCGCAGGAGATGTTCGGCAATTTGAACGAGACGAGTTCCAACACGCTGATGCGAGTGATGAAGCAGGCTGACAATAACGAGACGGTGAGACAATTGGTGCTGTTGCTGATAAGCCATTGCAACGGACCCCAGAACAAGACGATGGAGGAGGAGAAGGAGCAATTGCTGGACGCTCTGCTGAGAATGCCCGTTAATGAGTTCAGTTCCGAGGAATCGCGGGAGATCGTCGCCGGTATCAGCAGACTTAGCCTACCTATCGGTACGTGCGTATGTAAATATATGAGTATATATATTAATTATATATAATTCCTGCTATGTTCCTATATAATAACATATAGAGGGTGAGGTAATAACTGTTTCCATGTTGAATATTTCCGTTATTTCAAACGACATTAGAAAATAGTTGCTACAAAAGTTTTTTACGATTTTGAAGAAGAGACATAACGTAGTGACAAAGAGATTTTTTATGAGTAGAGCTATGTGCGAGATTTTTTAAGATGGCCTTTAATTTTAAGTGGAATCATGGTTTTTCTAATCTGAATCAATTGATCATTCTGCATATAAAAGTACTCAAATGAAATTTCCAAAAAATAGATACTTTCTGAAATATATTTTTTTTATTTTATCCTGATATTTTTTAGTGAAAAATATGAAATATAACTATTCATTTTTCGACAAATATTCGCCTAAATACTTTTGTACATAGAAAAACGGGTAAAATTGATTGTTGTAAAAAAGAAACATAAAGGAACCTTAAACAAAATTCCGTTATGGCTTGGTGCTGTTTCCTTCAAAACCATAAAATTTCTATAGAAACTATTTTTTTATATTATTTAGTATAAATAACGAAGATATTTGGTAATAGTTATTATTTCATATGTAATTATGTTCACACGGAAAGAAGCTACTGAGTGGAAAAAAGAAAAAATAGTTACATTCAATTGAACATAGAGATTCACGACTGCTACAAACATAAGCAATTACTTTGATTATATTTGCACAACAACATTTTTTTCTGTGTGAACATGTATAATTATGTATTATTATATATAGAGATAAAATTCATTACATAAAATTCACGTATAATTGTACGTGATCATTTTTCTCCCAATCTTCATTGTGTGCTAAAAATGTGAAGAACTCGATGTGCTTATCATAATTGCGCCATTAATGAATTGTCCTTTTTATTTTCTCACTCATCAGTTATATATAAGAGACTTTGCATTAAGATTTCATTACGTCCTACAATCGTCAGTCGCTGATGATCACGCGCGTTTGCAGAGAGTAATGCCGGAGAGATTTTCTCCGTTATTCCTACGTTATTTCTACGAGACAACGTCCACCTTTTCCAGTATAATGTTGCTGTTCCAGTATAATATCCCGCGCTGCAATGTCAGCAATGAGTACAACGTTAGGAGCGCTCCATGTTCCCGACTGATGCTCCCGTGTATTCCGCTTACAGGTAAAGCACGTGCCGCTGCTGCTTCGCCGAGTAGCACGACGACGAAAGCACCCCGAGCGACGTCCGTGAAACCCACGTCGTCCGAGCCATCGATCACCACGTTTCGCAGCAGCAGGGCGGGACGGAGGTTCCGCACCACCACCGAGAGTACCGACGCGTTCGCTAGGAGATTGGACGAGGACATCCCGGCGGACACGAACAATTCTTTGTTCGACGAGGCCGTCGCGTCCGACAATCGGGCTCTCGAGCTGCTCAGGTCGCTCTACACGATAGCCGCTAAATGGGGCTGAGGCCGCACAATCGAGGACCGATCGGAACTACGCGTACGTCGGAAGACTCGCGAGATGAAGATCTCGCTGGAGTGCTAGAAGACGTTCACCTGTCGATACGTCGGAGTAGATCGTTGCTGTCGCCCGTAGCGCGCGCGTCGCGCTTCGCTTAGCTAAACTCTTTCAACTTCAACTCGCGGCTCCGGGGATCAGCCGGATGCCGGATGTTAAATCGGTCTCGGCCCATAAATCGACCGATCAATTGACGTGAGATTTATTGAACAGACAGACAAACAGGAATGCAGTCCGATGCACGGAATAGGCAATGGTATCGTTTAAGGTGTCGGCGACGTCACACCGTCTGACATCAGCGAAAATCTTGTCTTCTTTCTTGTCAGGCTAAATTCTTGTAAACGCGCGCGTCTCCACACACGTGTAACAGCCGGAGATAGAGTGAGTTAGGTGCGAGCTGAAGATTCGGCGGCACCTGCGTCTCTGCGAATCGACAGCGCGCCGTGCGCCGAAGTGAAGTTCGATTTAGCTTAGGGCCGAGATTGACTTAAACGATTTTTCACCTGCGCTCGCGGATATCAAGTAGGTCGAGCTTACGACGACCGATTTTCGGCGTGCAATTTCAGCCGGTTGCTTGGTAGCCGCGATCGAGGCTGTCGGTTAATATGCGGAGTCCCGGTCGATCGTCGATTGATAAAATCGCAAGTAACGATTAACCGGTTAATAGTCCGACGTTAAGATTATTAATGTATTGCTCTCTCTCTCGCCGTCCTTTTTATTAAGAAATAAAACATCGATCGCCTCCAAATATCGGCAAATATTACTTGCAAAAAAATGCTTGCCATACTTCGTCCCTCTCGTTCAACTACTTTGTGTGAATGACGCGCTGTATGAATATCCTGAATTAGCTCTCTCATTGCTAAATGGCTCTACATGTTAAGTGAAATTCAGAGGTTTTCTTTGCTTTTAGCGTGCAGCAATATAAAATGGCCGAATTTTGCCTAATTCTTTCCTTACGTAGTCCCTAATAATTTTTTAATCAATCGAACAAGAAAGTATCGCGATATTTTTATTTCGAAAAAATTGATTTTATAAAAATTAATAATTTTTGACACAGAAATTCGTGTTATTTTATTTATTTTTTCTTTTACTACGCAATACATGTTAAATAAAATACCGAAATTTTATTTCTTGAATTTCTTCAAGAAATCTTCCTTCTTTTCTTTTTTTCTTTCTTGAATTCTTTCCTTATATAATTTTCCATAATTTTTTAATCAATCAAAAATCGCGATATTTTTATTTCGAAAAAATTAATTTTTTCTAATTAATTTTTTAATAATTTATTGTGTAGCAATATAGTGACGGAATTTTTTGAATTCGTTTCTCACATAATTTTTCAATATTTCAGTCAATCAAACAAAAAAGTATCGTGATATTTCCACTTCGAAAAAATTGACCTTCAAAGAAAACAATTTGTCAGAAATTCATGTGTTGTGTTCTACATCTTTTTTTTCTTTTTTTTTTTATTCTCTCGCTATGCAGTGTAACGTACACGACCGTGCTTGGAATGAGAGAGTTAGCTTTAATTGCTGATGTAACTGTAGAACATCAGACAGACATAGAGCATTGATCGCGCAAATCGACTATATCCGAAGCGTATACATACATATACATATATATATAAATGCATATATATATATATATATACTCATGTAAAATAGCGATTGTCCTGCATGCCAACCTAAAGGGGTACAGCATTTTGTATGGCTCGTCCGCTCCTCTAATAATGTTCGCCGGGTACATTCTCTCAATTTGCAACTCGTCTCCGCTGAATTGTACGCGAGATTGGCGGGGTGTGGTGAATTGCACCGGTACGCGCTCGCGGCTCCTCGCGCCGCGGTCGAACTCTACGTGACACAATTTCACCCTCTTCTCGCGTCACCTTCTCAACGAGATCATTCCCGTTCTCTTTCGGAAAGTCCGCATTAATTTTCAGCCGACACCAAATTCGTATTCACGAGCTGCGCCGTACGAACTTCCAATTCAGTCCGGAAACTGCCGTCGTACACGTTGCACACGTTCAGTATTACAAAAAGACTCCCGGAGGGATTCGTCCGAGCACACGGCGCGGATCCGCGAAATTATTTATTCGCCTTCGCTCTCTCTCTCTCTCTCTTTCTCTCTCTCTCTCTCTCTCTCTCTCTCTCTCTCTGTCTGTCTGTCTGTCTGTCGCGACTCCTACACGTACCGGCTAACAGTAAGCTACTTGTATCTTGAAATTACGGTGTTGGTAACGTTCTCTTTCGTTTGGCCAGTTCGAGGTCAGCGATGCGCTTCCGTTGCGATCCCGAAACGTCCAAACGGGGTTTCTAGGTCATTATTTAAGTACGCGATCTAGCGTGTAGCTGTATCGACTTTATGTAATATACCTTTGTACAGTATGTGAATAAATAAACAGGGTTTTGTTTACCTCCGTTTCGCTCGTCAAAAACGACCCTTAATGCCTCCCGCGTTCTGTGTGATAAAATCGTCAGTACTCTGAGTTGCTTTAAGTCATTCAGCAATGTGTTAAAGTTAGTATCGATATTATTACTTCTGAGTTTAATGGTTGAATATTTTAGTAGCTCGACAACTAAACAGTACAATCTATCGATTTGTAATGTTTCTTGCATTAACGTACATTTTCCCCTCAACTTTTCAGGTAAGTAAGAGCCTCACTTTTTTAAGGCAATTAATAATCGTCCCTAAAAATTTGTTTCATGTTAAACCCACTTATCGGCATCTCCTTAGTCATTGATATCTCAGACAAAACTTCACAACAAAAACTGTGAATAACCGTCGTTAATCGCAAAAAAAAAAAAAAAATATTCTAGAGTGTCTATGAATAAGGGAAATTAATTATTTAATGTCTTACGCTACTCCAACTTTTATTCAGAGTTAGATCTAAAGTTTTTCAGTTTAATTATGATATATGTGACATTTATATTTGTAATCATGATTCACCTGAAAAACTATCATCTAACTCAGAGTTTAAATTTGAATATTTCATTTGAGACGAGTTTCAAGCAACGTTGGGCATTAATAAATTAAATGTTTCTTTGAGACTGAAATAATCGACAAATCATTAAACAAAATTGATCAGTTATCATATATATAATCGCAAGTGAACAAATATTGAAATTAATTATTAATCAGTGTATAACCAATCGTATTGACTAAAGCTTGACTAATAATTAATTTCATCGATAAGATTATTTGTAATTTTGTATATGACGATCAATAATTTTGATTATTGATTTGTTGATTATTTCAGTTAAAGAAAATTCGGGTAAATTAATAGCCGACAATTTGGCTTCAAGTAACGACTATTAAGGCCCAAGAGAAAACCGCTAAGGATAGACTTTCAAAAACCATCTAAATTAGAGCAAAACGTCGAAATTTGTTAAAAAGTGAAAAAAAATTTGTGTTGGATTTCAAAATTCAAGATGGCGGACCAATATGTCGGTCCAAAAATTTGAAATTTTGACCTATTTAAGTGAAAATCCGTATAGGGGGGTTTGGAGTTCGCTGAGTATGAATATGCACTTATTTTTTAAAAATTCATAATGGCGGATCCAATATAGTCGCCCAAAAATGCGAAAATTTGACAGTTTTGTTATTTGGCGAAAAATCCAACCAAATTATAAGCTACTTTTCGAAGGTATTTGTTTTGAGGCAAAACATCATACTTTAGCAGACTGTTGAAGAAAAATGGTTTTTTGATTTTAAAAATCAATATGGCGGCAAAAAATTTTTAATTTTAATTTATTTCAATGAAAGTACGTTTTGAAAAATTTTGAAAAAATAAGTGCATATTCATATTCAACGAACCCAAACCCCCCTCCCTTCTATACGGATTTTCACTCAAATAGGTCAAAATTTCAAATTTTCGGGCCGACATATTGGTCCGTCATCTTGAATTTTGAAATCCAACACAAATTTTTTTTTCACTTTTTAACAAATTTCGACGTTTTGCCCTAATTTAGATGGTATTTGAAAGTCTATCCTTTTTCTCTTGGGCCTTAATGGTTTAATACAGATCTTCAATCATAGATTGTAATATTTTTCGTTCCCATCTACTGTGTCGTTTCTGGGGGAAGTCCTGCGACGATTTAAAGTTCGCCGATTTTATCAGGGAGCGTCATTAAGGTCGGCTCGGTGGAGCATGAGGTAAGCAGAAGAGTCGTTTGTACTTGAAACATATAGACCACCACGAATATAACACTGCGACAATGTGTTAATAACTCAGACGGACTCATGAGCACCATTAGCGTTTTTGCGACGAGTCCTGGGAAGGACGGGCGCAAAGAAACGGCCACGGTCGTCGACGATTGCGCAAACACCGAGGGAACAGAGGAGATCTTCTTTTCCTTCCTTGTCGCACACACGACCCGACATCCGGCGATTCACACGCGCGTATACGCGTTCGTTCGTTTTCCACAGGACTCTCGTATATGGCATGCGAATGTAAGTATTAAGACTCGAAAACGGGCCCGTATTAAAGTGAATCAACGTGCGTGCGATTGACAGGAATTGACGATGGCGCTGTGAGAGGATTGCAAACAGATTTCCATAATACGTCATGAAGTACGTTTGAGAGAGAACGACTCGAAGAAGCGAAAAAGATGAGCGTGGAGTATCGCAAAAAAAAAAAAAAAAGAAAAGAATTGCATACAGGTCGGAGGCCATTGCAAATGGCTGATTAATATTTCTAAAGACACCGTCTTACCGCGGCCAGATCACCGCAAGCAGGACGTGGCAGATTCTCCATCATGTGGAACGTTACAAAACTACCCTACAAGGACGCCGCTTTTTCGCGTCACGCTTCATCTCTCGATCGCCTCACGGCTGTTGCCAGTAACGGCATCGACTCGCCGAGCATCCAGGAAGATATTCTGAAGATCGAGATAACTGAGAAAGAGAATGAGAAATAATTACGCATGCAATTATCAATGAATTATGTACATAATGAAAGAGAAAATCTGTGATTCAAATTTGGATTTGAAAATTTATTTCTTGTCCCGAAAGGACAACTATTCGTTATTGTAAACAGATTGATTTTGTATCAGTAACTTTGTCTACTTCGCAAATTTATATAACTTGACCCACAATGACCTTAAATGTTAACTTACTTCTTACACATGGAACTCTTGTGTAGTTCGACAAAATTTACTTCAATTCTCATGCATTCGTCTGCTTACCTATAAAAGTTCTTTCTCATCTGCTTTCCTCGAAGAGACCAGAACACCCAGTCTTGATTGCACTGAGAAAAAAATGCTTGAACATTTATTTGAGAGCTCTACAGTTTATTCAGATAAACTTTATTTCGCAAGAAATAAACTTTATATTTCACAAATGAATTTTCATGTATTTTTTCTCATTGTATTCGCCGCTCGACTTATCGATCATTCGCAAGTCAATCCCTCTTCAAACCGAAGAGGGCTCGAGGAGAAGAATGCCGAACGAAATTTTCACGCGCGTTCGCGGCCGTTGGCCAACTTTTCGAGCGTTTCGAACTCAAGTATCCCGTGACGCAACTTTTGCCTCCGCTGCGATGCGAAAGGACATCCGCCCTCGGCAAGACCGATTCGCCGCCTCGACGCAACACATTCAAATTAATCTCCGTAGATCGGTATCCGGATGAAGGGTTACGAGAGGCAGGAAGAGCCTCTGTTGCTTGAACATCTCGCGTTTTCCGCAAACGTAAACGAGACCGTCCAGTCGCTACTCGTGACGTAATTATGCCGGAGCGAATATCGTGTTCGCGCATAAAAGCACCCCGCGACAATAAGTAGGGCGAAGCTATTGTTGCAGAACGTCCTATGAATCACACGCTTCCTCCCGTTTAGTGCCTTTTTCCTCGCGTCCCTTTCATGGGCGAGTTCCATCTTCGCATTTTTCTCCTCAGGGTAGATACATTGCGCGAACGCAGCAGACTAATTTACATATAATCACAGCTGTCGGGATTATTCTTAAAAATCCGCCGATAGGCAACACAGCGCTGTGTTCTGACAGTCGGGAATGCATTTGTGCTTCAACGGCGGGTGAGGTGCATCGCGCGGGGTTTCGAACGCGAAGTAATAATAGCCGCCATCGGCACGGTA